TGTTATGTCCATATACAGACAGCATAATTCTGGGTGAGGCCAGGCAGGAAATAAGGTTGGGAGGAAGCTATAAACATCCAATTCACGGTGACGGGGCAACCAGATACTTTTGCTTATTCCAGTGGCTCCATGACTAGTGAGAAGCTGCTGCTGATTCATCTGAGGCAGCAAAAAACATTCAAAGAAAGACAGAAAAAAACTGACCGAAGTATAAGTTTTACAAGACATATAGGTTGAAGGGGATCAAAGTATTTATTCATTGCCTGTAGGGTAGGAGGTTGTACTATGTCCTAGAAGCTTAATATTGTTTCCTGGTTGAGGTTGGGCCTAACTGTTAAGAGCTGAAGGGAGCTTTGGATCCATATGGTAGAAATCCCATTTTACGGATGAGGAAAATAGGGGCCAAAGAAGTACTGTGACCTGTGGACGAGCCACGTATAGAACGTGGGCCTCCAGACATCTACTATATCAAACGCTAAACCAGAAAGCCCACGTCAGAAGCAGCAGTGGCAAATGCTACATGGGAGCACTGAAGAAGATTTTCTATTTACACCTTGTCCCTACCCGAGGAGAATCCGAGTAGGTAGATCATGCCTCACTACCCTGCTACGCAGCCACTCCACGCGAACGTCTCCTGAACTCTTTCGCAGCTCGTTTCCAAACCCTCTGACAATACCCCTCTTTTTGTGGTCAGTTTTCTTGCAGCCCCTCCTGGTATCACCTTGAAATTCTGTCCACGGCTTCCTGGTCGATGCCTTAATTAAATTACCTGCAATATATATTTCTCTTTACCCCCAGCTCAACACAACAGGGGTAATGCTCACGTCTACTATTCCCAGCTCTGGCCTGGCTCCGGTCTCAGATTTCCAGCAGCAGAACAGGACGTATCTTTTTGGATACCGTGGCCTTGCCGGGCCAAAATGAATCTTACTGCTTCCTGCAGATGAGCTCCTCTTCTTAGCTAACCATTCCGTGCCTGAAGTACTATTATTTTATTCTCATCGATCTAGTTCTGGATTTCAATGTCTCCAATTAGGACTGTAGCTATAGCATCCTAACTGGTTTTCCTGTTTTTAGTGACCAAATGAGTCTACCCTATGCACTGACAGCCAAGGTCTGCTCCAAAGGGAGGGCTCCAATTCTGTTATTCTCCTGATCAAAACTCGTCAGTGGTTTCCCACGCCCTGCCAAATAAAATCCGAGCTTCTTAACGCGGGCTTTAAGGGACTCATGTGTTGGGTCATCATTCGATCAATATTGAGTGCCAACTGGATGCTGCAGTAGGTCAGCTTAACAAGACACAACCCTTACCCAAATGAACTCCCTCCTCTAGTAGAGGGATGCAGAACAGAAAGCAATCCTATAAAACATGGTGTGTGTGTGTGTGTGTGTGTGTGTGTGTGTGTGTCAGGAGCCATGACAGAATTAGGGTATGCTCTGAGACATAAGAGGAACAGCACCTAGCCCAGACCGAGGTGGGAAGAGGTGGAGGAAAGGAAGGCGGGCAGGGCACAATCAGGGAAGCAGGGATGTGAAGCAGGGAAAGCTTTCCCGGAGAAGGTCAGCAGAACTTCTAATAGGAAAAGGCATTCGGCCAAGTGGGGAAGGGGTGATGAGTGACGATGAACACTGTTTCAGGCAGGATGGAATCCTGATGTCCACGGATGATGTCCATGGAATCAGGATGTCTGAACCCCATCGGCACATGAACTGGCCTATGGCTCCTCAACACCTTTCCTTACCTCTACCTTAGGTTCCCTTCCAAGCTTTCAAAGTCCCGGCTCCATTACCATACCCTTGAGCTTGCATCTGACAATCCAGCCAGAAATTGCCTCTGCGATGCCTGAACCTCCTTAGCCCGCACTTCTGTAACTCTAGCATGGAGTTGCTCAGAGAATACGCATGGAATGAATTTCTACTGCCACCTAACTGGGGTCTAAGCACCTCAGGCCCAGTGAGTGCACTGGCTTTATCTGGTCTCCTACCTCCCGCCTCTTCCATTCATCAGATGGGCTACTTCACGTCATCCAGATACATTAAGATAGTGCTGCCCCAGTTACCTGGAATGTTCTTCTCTCCCCACCTTCTCCGTTCTATCCATCCTTCGTGTTCCAAATCAACTCCCTTCCTTCTCTCCTAAGCCCCATCCTGCTCTGCCCTTTCCTTTACTCCAGCTTCCTTTTGCCTCTAGGTTCAATGCAATCCTATCCAGCAGGACAGTGGGAGCCTGTCGATATTCCACATGGCCCACTCTGGCAAAGACCTGACAAAATGGCAGGGGACTACTG